CATCTGGAGCCGTGTTGGGGACATTTTGGGCGTCTTGTACCGATCGTTCGGCGACTCAGGGCCCTCGGGGCCCATGTTGGGGCCTTCTTGGGCGAGGGGGCCGTCCAGGAGTGAGCTGGAACTCCGATTCCGCCCAGTGATTAAATCGACCCCCCCCCTCTTTACCCCGGCAGAGACACCCGGGCACCCACCCTCCATTAGAGGTGAAGCTCCGAATTGAGGCTCAGGCTGTTCTGCGGGTCTTTGAAACTCACACGCTGGATCGGCGGATTTTGGAACCAACCAGTTTCTGCAACCTTGAAGACGAATGTGCCCAGAACCCAGGCAAGACAACACTGACCATCTGTACACCTCTGCAGCTGCTGCAGGCTTTTCAGGCGAATGTGCGTGGAGCTGCAGCGGGAGTCACTTTGACCCCTCACCCATTCTTTGTGGCGGTTGGATTTTTCAAGAACGATACGAGGAGGCCTCAGGCGAAACGCCCGCCCGCCCCACCAACACGTCTGTTGACGCGGGGTCATCAACGAGGACAAGTGCTATGATGATGGTGTTGATGATCATGTTGGTGATGAGTACGACGATGATGATGCTGCGGAGGATGATGACGATTATGATGATGATGCGGCTGGTCATGTTGATGGTGATGGTGGTGGTGATGGTGACGGTGGTGGTGATGATGTTGCTGCTGACGATGACGATGACGGCGCTGGTAATGATGATGCTGATGATGTTGGTGATGATGCTGCCAGTGATGGGGTTGTTGATGGCGATGATGAGGATACTGATGCGAATGATAATGACGATGCTGCCGTTATGATGGCGATGGTGATGCGGATGCTGTTGATGATGGTGATGATGATTGTTCTGGTTATGGTGAGGGTGCTCGTGATTATGACAATGATGGTGCTGATGATGGTGATGATGGTGATGAGGACGAGGAATCTGAGGAGGATGAGGATGACGATAGTGAGGATGATGATGAAAATGGTTGTGATCTTGTTGGTGGTGGTGGTGATGAGGAGGAGGAGCAGGAGGAGGGGTAAGTGACAGGGGAAAGGGAGGAGGATTGGGTGGAGGGGGGCGGGAGGGAACGATGAAGACGGGGAAGAGGAGGATAGCCAGTGTGAGCCCAAGGCACATCGACGATTTTGGAACAAACCCTCCTTCCAAGCTCTTGTGCACGGATTCATCTCCACGGAAGGATGTGCCCCGTTGGGAGACAACCGTTTGAACATCTTGAAGCCACGAGTCAATCTGAGTGTTGCGTCTTGACGATAACGCATTCTTTCTGGTACGTTCACCATGGGGAGCCATGGACCTATTGCATGCGTTTTTCAAACGACTGTGCGCGGCGTTATGGCGAGAGCCAAATTTTGAGAACGGTCCGCCCTCAATCCGTGAAACCCTTGCAGTTTTTTAATTGAATGTGCGCGGCGCTAAAGCGAGAGCCACATTTTGAAAACCACTCGCCCTCAATCCATGAACTTCTTGGGGCCTCTTGGGGCGCTCTTGGAGCCCTCGTGGGGGCCTCTTGGGAGCCCTGGGGGGGCCTCTGGGGGCCATCTTGGAGGCGGTCGGTCAAGAGACGGGGGTCCTCGACGTAGCTCCCCCCTATCTGGGGCCGCGATCCTCGTGAAGGGTGTCAAAAGTGACCCTCCCAGGGGCCGAGAACGGACCTCGGACACATCGGGCCCCCTCTCCAAAAAACCCAGGGAGGGGAGGGGGAGGGTTCCCCTCCCCGAGTGGAAAAGGGGTCGTGGAAGATGAAAGAGAGCCTCGTTAGACCACCTGTCGCCCAGAGGGTGTGGGATTGTTCAGCTGCAGAATCAGAAGTGGTAAGGAAGTCCCAGGCGAAACGCCCGGCCCGCCCTTCCGACCGGTCTCGGGGTGCGACAGGGATGAGTTTTCTATAACGGAGGAGGAGGAGGTGGAGGAGGAGGAGGAGGAGAAGGAGGAGGGGCGAAATGATGATGATGATGATGATGATGATGATGATGATGATGATGATGATGATGATGATGATGATGATGATGATGATGATGATGATGATGATGCTGAGGATGATGAGGAGGAGGAGGAAGACGACGAGGAGGAGCTAACTCTGCTCTCGCCGCACGCTCCCGCGGGGTGCCGCGAGGGGCGCGCTCTCGCGCCGGCGCGCATCCCCCCTCGGCTGCACCGGGGCCCCGCGCGCGAGGCGCCAGCGGGAGGGAGGTGGGGGCTGGAGGCGGGAGGGTGACGGATGGTGGTGAAGCTGCTCGCTTGGGCCGTGAAGGATTGGGGGAAACACAGAGGGCTCGGGGGGTAAAGCGTGAACCTTTGGGACCGCAGGAGGAGGGAATGGGGTGAGGGAGGCGGAAGAGGCAGGCGACGGTCGGAGTGAGGGGGGGGAGAGGGGAGGGGGAAAGGACAGGGAGAGGAATAGGAGGACGAGGAGGATGATGATGACGCTGATGATGCTGATGCTTATGATGATGCTGCTGCTGATTATGATGATGATGGTGATGATGATGATTCTGATAATGCTGGTGGTAATGATAATGATGATGGTGATGATGGTGATGATGATGCCGATGATGATGACGACGACGATGATGATGATGCTGATGATGCTGCTGATGATGATGATGATGCTTTGATAAATGCTGCTGGTGGTAACGATGATGATGATGGTGATGATGATAGTGAGGGGAGGGATGGGGGGGGGGAGGAGAGAGGAGGAGGAGGAGGAGGAGGAGGGTGGAGGAAGAAGGAGGAGGACGACGAGGAGAGGAGGAGGCGGAGGAGGAGGAAGACGACGAGGAGGAGGAGGGGAGGAGGAGGAGAAGAAGGAGGAAGAGGAGGAGGAGGAGGAGGAGGAGGAGGAGGAGGAGGAGGAGGAGGAGGAGGAGGAGGTGGTGGTGGAGGAGGAGGTGGTGGTGGAGGAGGAGGAGGAGGAGGAGGTGGGGCAGAGGGGGAGGGAGAAGGACGGGGAGGAGGATGGGGGAGGGGGAGGGGGAGGAGGAGGAGGAGGAGGAGGAGGAGGAGGAGGTTGAGGCGGAGGTGGAGGAGGAGGAGGTGGAGGAGGAGGGGGGGAGGGGAGAGGGGGGAGGAGGAGGAGGAGGAGGAGGAGGAGGAGGAGGAGGAGGAGGAGGAGGAGGAGGAGGACCTGGGTAAACCCAAGAGGATTCAACGATGTTGGAATACACCATCCTGCCACGCTCCCACTTCATAGGCCCCCGCCTCGTTTCAAATCTATTGGGGGATTTGCCTCGGTGGAAGGCAACCGTTTGACGACCCGGAAGCATGCCGCCAAGACATGGATTTAGGGATTCCAACGCCACGGATCAACCAGCCTGTTGCGTTCTGACGATCTTGGATCGTGCCAGAACGATGTGCTTCGGAGTGTAACGCCGCGAAGCAACGTAACTGTCGCACGCGCAAAATCATGAATCCTTCCAGCACGCAGTTTCTGGTACGTTGATCGTGGGAATCCGTGGAAACCTTGCAAACTTTATGAACGAATGTGATCGGCGCTAAGGCGAGAGCCACATTGTGAAAATAAAGCCTTTGCGAATGTTGTGAACGATTGTACGCGGCGCCGAGGCGAACACCACATGTAGCACACAGGTCATCTTCCATCCGGTAAGTTGATGGCAATTTGTTAGAACAGCTTTTCGCGGCGCTAGGGCGAGAACCACATTTTGAAAATGGGCGAGCCTCAATCCGTGAAGCTCCTGCTGTTTTTTTATAACGAATGTGCGCTGCTCCATGGCGAGAGCCACATTTTGAAAACCACCCGCCCTCCATCTGTAAAGCTGTTGCCAATTTTAAGCTTCAGAGTCATACGTGGTGAGGACATCTCAAGCGAAACGCCCGGCCCGCCCTAAAAAATGGCCGCGGGGTGCGACAGGGGAAAATTGTTATGTATAAGGAAAACGAATGGAGGAGGAGGAGGAGGATGAAGAGGAGGAGGAGGAGGAGGAGGAGGAGGAGGATGAGGGGGAGGAGGTGGGGGAGCGGTGGCAGGGGAAGGAGGAGGAGGAGGGGGAGGAGGGGGAGGAGGAGGACCAGTGTAAAACCAACAGCCATCAAAGATGTTGGAATACACCCTCCCCCCAAGTTCCCTCTTCGCAGGTTCGTGCGACGTTTCATTTCCATTGAGGCATCTGCTTCGTTGGAAGACAACCGTTTGAAGACCTAGAAGCATGCCAAAACATTGTTTTCGGGATTCCAACGCCACGGATCAACCTGACTGATGCGTCTTGACGATCCTGGACGGTGCAAGAACGCCAGTCTTGGGAGTGTAACACCGCGAATCATCGTAACTGTTGCGCCCGCGGAATCCTGAATCCGTCTAACATGCACGTTCTGGTACGTTGATCGTCAGAATCCGTGAAACCCTTGCAATCCTATGAAATTTTATGAACCAATGTGCTCGGCGCAAAGGCGAAAACCACATTTCGAAAAGGAGCCGCCCTCAATCCGTGAATCTATTGCGAACTTTATGAACGAACGTGCGCGGCGCTGAGGCGAGAACCACATTTTGAAACTGAACCGCCCTCCATCCGATGAGCTGATGGCAATTTGTTAGAACGACGGTGCGCGTCGCCAGGACGAGAGCCACATTTCGAAAACGGGTGATCCTCAATGCGTGAAGCCCATGCGGTTTTATAACGAATGTGCGCGTCGCCAAGGGGAGAGGCACATATTGAAAACCACCCGCCCTCCATATGTGAAGCTGTTGCCCACCTTTTTGAAGCTTCGAAACCATGAGTGGTGAGGCAGTCTCAGGCGAAACGCCCGGCCCGCCCTAAAAACTGGCCGCGGGGTGCGACAGGGAAGAGATTATTTACAAAGAGAAGGAATGGAAGACGAGGACGAGGAAGAGGAGGATGAGGAGGATGAGGAGGAGGACGAGGTGGAGGAGGAGGGAGGAGGAGGAGGAGGAGGAGGAGGCGTATCAGTGACGCGCCGCGGATGGGAGCCCGTCAGCGTCGTATTGTTCCTTCGTTCCTGTTCTTTCCCTGGCTCCTCCTTTCTAGCAGTAAGCTGATGGATTCCATGCGGCGGCGCGGCCTGACCTGACCTCCTTCCCTTCCATCCCCTCCCGTTCTCCCCCTTCTCCTCCTCCTCTTCCTCCTCCTCTCTTCGTTTTGTCTCTCGTCTCCTCTTCCTCCTTCCTTCAGGAGGTCACCGAGGTGGCCGGGTCCCTCGAGGCCCTCGGTGCCGTGTGTAGTCTCTCAGTTTTTCCTCTACGCGGCCGTCCTCGCCCTCTCCCGCCTTCACGGTGTCAGTTTGCAGTTTCGCATCCCAACCTGGGCTCTCCCGCGCCGAGCGATCGCAGAAATCGCGGAGTTGTGCGACGTCAGTGCTCACACTCAACCCGCATAGTAAAGATAAGCAGCCTTCCTAGGGGTACCCTTGCATTCTTGCCTCCTCGGTCTATCCTTGGCCACTTTCGTTGGCCACGCTCCGCTCGAGAAGCTTCGAAACGAGCTTCGGAGGCATTTGCGTCAATACCGTGCATCCTTATGATACTGGCTGAGTGTATTCAAGGGGGCTTGGAATACGCACCCCCACAGCACACTCTGATAGCGGTAGAGGTGTTGATGAACGTCATTCTCTGGCTTGGGGCCAGTTTTTCACCCCATGTTCTGTTTTGACGATTCCGACGCCCCGTTATGCCGTTGGAGGCAGAGCATAAACAGTGTCTTCCCTGGGTGCTATTGACACGACGAATCGAGGGCACCGAGAGGCAATGCCAGTGGGGGATCGGTTCTGGGTGGACGCATCGACCGCCAATCGCCCAATCATCGCCGATGAGGGTCCGATAGCCCACCCCGCCTAGGAACGTGCAGTTCCGGTATCGGGGGCCTCTCGCGGACCTATCGGCGAGGTCTCGCCGATTCCAGGCCGATGCTCCCCCTGGAGCCAGTCCCCTCCCAACGTTCCCTCACATTGGTGCACTGTGCCGACTCCTCTAGTCGCAACTCATTGAAGCCTGGTATGTCTTCGCAATCCCGTCATCAGAGTGCATTGGCGCGCGCTAGCGCCTGGCAGTCGATGAGAAAACGCCGATTCAGCGTCGAACGTCGGACAACGTCGATTCGCAAGAGCAGCAAGGATGACATGGGAGGCTCCCGCGAGTTGTCGCAGGAGTCTCGCTGTGGCTTCGGTCTCGTGGTAGGGGAGCACACACACAATGACAAAACATGAAAAACTCGGATGCCCGAGCAGATACCTCGGATCGGAGTGGACCCGCCTCCCTGGAGCGCGGAACGCGCCGGGGGGCTCTGGCGTTGGTCCGGGACATCCGCTCGGACCTCCGAGATCTCTTATGGTTATGCCATTGTTTGTTCGACTATCTGGTTTGGCTTGGTTTTTGTATCTTATATGCAATCATTTGGTTCATGCCGCTGGTTGGCCGCCCAGGCCGCTCCACGGCGACGTACCTCGCCATGTGTGTGCCCTCCTTTCCCTCCCTCCTTCAGCTGCCTCGATCCGACTCCATAAACACCGAAGTGCAACATTGGATCAAGGCAGGCTGGGCAGCCCTCGCTGCCCAGTGGCAAGCACCCTCAGCGAAGCACTGCACCTTGAAGCAAAGACTCCGGCTCTTCGAAGGTACTGTCACACCGATTGTACTATAAGGAGTGGCTAGTTTGCTTTTTACCGAGCCTTTACGACAATAGGTACGATGCACCCAACGACGCATGCTACGAATGATTGTCGGCTCCCCGCGACGACGCAGCACCGCCAACACGCGACCGACACCCAGTGCGACCAACCAACACAGGACACAAGCGACGACTGAGCCGCAGTCCCACCAAGACGACGCGCGCGGAGAAACAAACGCAACCGACCGCTAGCTACCCACCCAAACGCATATACCAACACGGCAAACATCCCCAGCAGCGACAACGAAAATGACGTCTCACCGGAGAGCATTGTATTGGACTCGTGGGTCGAATACGTCAAGCGCGCGACACGACAAGCAGAAGTGCTGCAGAACACCTCATGCACAATCACAATATGTGCGATTGGATTCTTCCGAAGCGGCGACGAATGGTGTGGACATGTGCCGCGAGAGTGGCGGAACAGTCCCCTCGAGAATGGTCTCCTCAGGAAGGCATAGACATCCGGGAGGACAGCAGAAACGATGGGACGCTCACGTGCGTCATTTTCACGTATCCCATGGCGTGCAAGAGCGACCCGCCCCAAGTAGGTACGACGTGAACAACATCGATTGGGTCGGATTGGCGACCGACCACGCATTGTGGACGAAATTAGAAACGCATTTTGTCATGCGCTCCCTTCATGGTACTTCCGCGGGAGCGTAGCATCCGACTCTTCGCATATACCGCCACCTATCGACCTCCTGCGTCGACCAGCCCAGCACTCCGACCTCAAACCACTAACATCCGACACGCCAGTTCCGCCTCCACCTATCGACCTCCCAAAATCACCCGCTCAGCATTCCAACCCCCAACCTCTAGCATTCGACTCTCCAGTTCCACCGTCACCATTCGACCTCCACCGCCCGCCAGCCAAGCATTCCGACCTACAACTTCTAGTGTCCGACTTTCCACGTCCGCCTCCACACATCAACGTGCAGCGCCGAGCACGTCAGCATTCCGACCTCCAACCTCTAGCATCCGAGTCTCAATTTTCATTTTGACCTCTCGACTTCCAACGCTCCGCCAATCGACCCCGAAAATCCGCCGGCTCAGCATTCCGACATCCAACCTCTAGCGTCCGACTCTCCCTTTCCACATTCGCCTCTCGACTTCCAGCGCCCACCAGCTCAGCATTCCAATCTCCAACCTCTACCTTCTAGCATCCGGCGTTTTATTTCCACCTCCACTAATCGACCCCCAGTTTCGAGCAGCTGAGCACTCCGACCTCCAACCTCTGGCATCCGATTCTCCACTTCCACATTTCCACCTCCACCAACGCCAGACACCGAAAATGCAGAACGACTTCAACGACACCGCATGGCTACAACCAGCTACAACAAAGGAGTGGGGACATCTGGAAAATTCTAGGGTGAAGCGCGTATGTCCCTGGGCAGGCGCCCGGCGCGCGCAGTTTCTCGTGCGAGGCCATGGTCTCGCCCGCCTCGCCCCCAAGGGGCTCGGGCGCATGCCTGCATAGGCGTTCCGTTCCGTTTCCGTTCCGTTCCTCCTTCGCGCCCCGCTTGCGCCTGTCCCTCTTTCCCCCTGCCGCCAGTCAGTTTGCGCTTTCCGTTGCCCAGACCGCCTGATCGCGCGTGCGGAGTGCCTTTGCTCGGGGGCGGCAAAGAGAGGGGTGATGACTCTGACTAGAGGTGGAATTTCATGGCGGGGCCATGATATCTCTCCAGATTTCATTGCGCCCCTTCTTATTTCAATGCGTCCCTGGCCCCCCCCTGGGCCTCGCACTTGCCGCCGGCCATGAATGGGGCCCCTTCCTTTGACGCCCCCGATTTGCCGCGCTGCGACGTAAAAATGGTTCCCCTATCGGGACCCTTGCCCCCCCCCCCTTCCCCGCAGGCCCCGGCATGAGCTGCGGCCGCCGGCATTGCACGCGCGCCGCGCGCGGGGGCGCCCTGCTCTGCCGCTGCGGCGCGGGGTACTGCTCCGAGGCCCTCCGCCCGAGCGTCCCCCTCCCCGCTCTCCTCCTCCCTCCTCCCTCCTCCTGCTCCTCCTCCGCTTCTCCTCCTCCTCCTCCTCGTCCTCCCTCCTCCTACTCTTCCACCTCCTCCTTCTCTTTCCTGGTTGCGCAAGGGCTTGCCGCGGCCTCATTTTTTCTGGTGGTCCTTTTCCTCCTCCTCCTCCTCCTTTTTTTCCTCCGCCTCCTCCTGCTCCTGCTCCTAACTCCTCCTATCCCATTTCTTCTCTTCCCTCTCCTGCTCTTCCTCTTCCTCAATTCCCTTTCCTCGTGAATAGCCCTTCCCTGTCGGACCCCTGGAAGGGCATGCCAGGCGTTTGCCTGAGACTTCATCACCATTCAGATCCTAAAGCTTAGAATATTTGCAAGAGTTTCACGGGGTGAGGGCGGATGGTTTTCAAAATGTGGTTTTCGCTTCTACGCCGCGCACATTCCTTTCAAATGTTCGCAAGAATTTAGCGGATGGAGGGCGGATGGTTTTCAACATGTGGTTCTCACGTCTGCGCCGCGCACATTATTTTCAAACATTTGTAAGAGTTTCGGGCACCTTCTTTCCAACATGTGGCTCTCGCCTCAGCGCCCGGCAAGAGTTTAGAACAGTTTCCAGGATCATCAGGGTTGCCGTCCCAAACATTGTGCATGGTGTTTTGGCATGATGTCGGATTGCCAGGGCGCAGCAGTTACGTTGGCCCGTGGTATTGACACCTGCAACACTTACAGGATCATCAGGGCTAACGTCCCAGAAATTGTGCTTTGGCATGCTGTCGGATTGTCCAGGCACAGCACTTACGTTGATTCGTGGTAGTGGAGTCCCAGGAGTCGTGTTCTGGCATGATACTAGACCGCCAAGGCGCAACCATACCAGTGATTCGCGGCGTTGAAGCCCCATGAATGCTGTTCTGGCGCAGGTCGGGATTTTCAAGCAGTTATTTCAAACCATCCTGTGGTGTTGGGCCCTCCTTTTGAAAACAGTCCCCGCGTTCCTCTCCTCTCCTCTCCTCTCCTCTCCTCTCCTCTCCTCTCCTCTCCTCTCCTCTCCTCTCCTCTCCTCTCCTCTCCTCTCCTCTCCCTCCTCTCCTCCTCCTCCCCCTCCTCCCGTCACCCCCCTCACTTTGGCGCACCCTTCACACGTTTCGTGGCCCCATAGGGGACCCCACCGAAGGCCCACGTGCCAGCGTTCGCATGCGGTCACCGCGCACTCATTTTGGCACACGCCTCACACGCTCCGTGGCCCCATAGGGAGCCTCACCGAAGGCCCACATGCCAGCGTTCGCATGCGGTCACCGTGCCCATTTTGGCACACCCTTCACACGCTCCGTGGCCCCATAGGGACCCCTACCGAAGGCCCAAATGCCAGCGTTCTTATGCT